TAGGACACAAAATTGGGTAAAGTATTGCATCTTCAGAATTTCTAAGGTCCAACAGACCATACAGAGCATATTAGAGGTCTCAAAGGATATGACAGTTCACAGGTGGATCACAAAGCGTCATCAAAGTGTCTTTCCCCTTAAACAATAAGCCCAATTGAAATATTACATTAGTACCATTATGTGTACCTCTTCTGTGATTTCAAAGGATTGAAGCCAAGAAAAACTTACGTTCTTCAAGGTAATCATTATCTGGATGTCCTGTCTGCCTAGTCAAGAGCCTTTCTAAGCAATGCATATCCGATGTCCTGTGAAAACCAGAACCAGATGTAAATTCTTTTGCATTCCTCTGAGCAATTTTGCCAATGAATGTGGAGATGATGATTCACTTAAATAATCACATTTTGTCAATAAGATCTGCTAACTGCCCATCCCCTTCTGAGAGCTTGATGAGTGATAATTTTTATGACTAAATAAAACCAGCTTTGTGCTCTTGAGCATTAGCCAGGACTGGTTCTTTTTAGCCAATAATCAATGACACACAGATAGGATGAATAAAAAATTCTGATCTTTTGGAAAGTAACCAATAGCAGCAAATGTTTCCTATTTAGTTAGTTCTAATAATTCTAGTCCTTTATTTTGTATGTGTTACGATCCATCCAGACAAAAATAGTGTGTAGGATGTCCAGGTTCTTCTGTGACTTCTCTCGGAAAACCTCTACCTAGCCATTATTCTTACTAGAAGAGCATACAAGAGTTACTGTGAACTCAGAAGTAAAGAATAATGAAAAATGTTGATAAAAATAAACATTACAAAAGTAGAATATGTCAGAATACTAATCTTGCTACCTAATAAGGTAACCAGTTTGCCAGTGTGACAGGAATTCAGGAGATGTAGTCTGTCTGGACTTTAGTAAAGCATTTGGAATATTATATGGGAAATGATTAGTTAAGATTAGCAGAAGAATTGTTAAGCCAGGTGTTGAATTAGCTAAAGGGTAAACGACAAAAGGGGAATACTGGCCTGGAAAGATTTTAGTAGTAGCATTCCTCCAAGAACTGTCCTAGGACGAATTTCATGTAATTTGCACAAAAAGTAGCACTATATTAATGAAATGTTCTGACTGAACAACTTGGGAGGCAATGTCAGTACAAAAGACTTGGAATAGCCAGAGTGATAGCTATGGGACAAAATTTAACTGTACTAAGTGTAACAGGGGAAAAAACAAGAGTTCTTACCATGAACCAAAAGCTTGTTAGCTGAAAACCACTAGCAGGAAGTCTGTGATAGGCTAATAGGATTACCAGACTTCACATATGGGATGCCTTGCTTAGATCCTTCTCAGTTCCTTACAGGCTTTTTCAGCTAGTAGTGCTGCTGGCTTCATCACTTTGCTCAAGAAGCGGAGAGAAGTAGGCAAGGAGCAGGCAGCAGAGGCCACAAAATCACACAACTCATGTAAAAAACAGAGAATACAGGGAGAAGTAATATGCCACATGCTTTTAAAGTGAGACATGGACTCTGGGATCGACCTACGAGAAATTCTTTGTTACAGGGGACATCTGGCAAGCCTGCGTTAGCCGCTCACAGGATGACTATAAGGAGGACCAGGGGAACAGAGAGCTTATTTCAGAGGAAGCTGCAAGCAGATTCTCTTACTAAGATTACCTGCTTTCCAGGCTTCAGGAGACTCCTAATGGTGCTGTGCAGTCAATAATGGCACAAGTTAGAGCTCTTGTACGAACCTTCCTCTTACCTGTAGGCGCGGAGGAGATCTGGATCTAGAGCTGGCCTGCTCTAATCACTGGCCACCCCAAAAGACTCAGATAACAGACCAGGGAGCAAATGCTACTGGTTAATATCCACAGTGGCTTCTCTTCATACAGAGTTAAAAGAAAAAATACACTCTTAAACTGTGCCTGAGCCACCTGGTTCTGAGAGTGAATGGGTAGCTGAGGAGGACTCCTCCTACAGGAATTACTGCTGAAGCAATGGGTGTACCTTCCTTCTCTACCCCAGCTGGTATTGCTGATACTCGCTGTACTGAATTACAGGAAAAAAGTGATAGTGAAGGGGGCACGTTTTCCTGTGACCTGAAAGATACTTTACAGCATGAGGTCCTTTCTGAGTTAGATTATTCTATGATTTCTGACCTCTTAAGGTAGGATAGAGTGCAGGATTATATTTTTTCTTCTCGGATGTTCTCCTTTCATGATAACCTCATTGTCTTTACTAGGAACTTTCTTTTGAAATGCTTACCTCTGATCTTTTGGGGAGGAAACAGAGAGGAGGGAAAGGAGTGTCCCAATTTGTTTTGTGAGCAGTAGAGCTAATGAAGGCTTGATTCCATGGACTATGGCCCGTGTCACTCATGCCCCTACCCATTCAGCTGGCCAGTATGCCTTGTCTCCTTTTCATACCCACGACTCTACCTCCAAGACTGGAGGGTCCTCCAGAGCTGAAGGACACTCTTTTCCCTGCAATACCTCCTGTTCCTCCTCACCTTCTTTAACTACGAACCAGCTTCCCCTGCTCAGTACTTGTAGCTCTCTTGCAAGGCTCATAGTTACTTTTTTGGCAGGCAAAAGACAGAAGGGAGGACATACTATTACAGAAGACAAGAAACAAAAACGTTTTCCAGAAAATGCAAAAAAAAACAAAAAACCAAAACAAAAAAGCCCTTGCAGAGTGGTTCCAGGAAGCAAGATACGAGGCTCATCATTAACCATTTCACTGCTGATCAGATCGGTATGATGGAAAGGCATGGAAGCAACAGAAGAAAGGATAAGGGAGAATATATGACAAAGAAACAGTAGATGCAAAGTATGTCCACTCCAGTCTCCCATCAGACCCATCCATATTTAGGCTGATAGCATTGCCATAGTAGCACAGAGCCCAGCCCGAGCTAAATCCAGAGAAGGAGGTAATTGGCTCCTCACTGAACACACTGGTGGCACACCAAGCTGAAAGCTGTAAGTCTGTCCAAGCTGCACTCCCAGCAGATACACTCCAACAGAAGAGGAAAATACACAGAAAATGGTGGCACAGAAGAGAAGCAAAGGGCAGAGACAGTTGTGATCCGAAAGAACACTGCCTGAAGGAAGCCATGAGGTATTGAACAAGCAATATGAGTTTAACAAATAATAAAAGGTTATGGCTCTACTCCTTGATTTTTTGTGGCAGCAGGTTTCTCAAAGATCTGAACGTAGTCCACCCCATCTGTGCAAGTAACATGACTGCCAGTTCCTTTTCAGAGAGGCCAAATGAGGAACAAAGCAGGTAAGCAACTACCTTCATCGCTGTCAGGGTTTATAGTTTAAGCTCTGTTCCCAACTTACATAAGATCTTCCTTTAGCAGCTGTATTTACCCTCATCATGCCTTGCAAGGCAGGGGAGTACTATTATTCCCATTTTACAGCCAGGGAACTGAAGCTCAAAGGCTAAATTACTTACCCACTGCCAGAAAAAGTGTGATGGAACAGGGAACTGACCACAAGTGTCCTAATTGCCAAGAAAGTGTCTTAGCCACCGCAACAATTTTCTTGCAAGGCCCACATAATCTACGCTACGCAGGGACACACCTAGGATCATAGGCTAATATGTGAAAATGAGAGTGATTTATGCTTTTACCTGCACTTTGTTTTTTGCCCTCCAGTCCTATAAACAGTATAGCTTTTGCAGTACTTTCTCAGAAGCTGGAAAATAATTTTCTTCCACTAGCAAACATACTGTTTGGGCTGTGTGGCACAACTGTAAAGCTAATGAAACTTTTCATTTACTGCTGTGTCTGCATATTAACATAAAGAAGGTCAGTAGGAGTGTTCACAGTTCTGAGAAAATGAGTAGTTAATTATTGCTAGAGTGCAAGAAGGGAAAACACATGATTTATTTTGGTGCAGCAAACAGCCAGATCACAAGAATTGCTTCTTTTCTGGGGACTGTTTTTCATGGGAAGGCATACATACACTAACATTGCAACGATCAGTTGAAGGTATTCGGTACATTTGAGTATTAAAGAAAAAAAAAAATCCCTTCTCAGCTTACCAGTAGGAACAATCTCAATAAATCAAATGCAATATTCAGCAAACTTTTAAGAATCGCATTTCTCTTCCTCATTTGTATCACCCGGCAACTTGCTAGTAGCTTTTGCCATATTCACTCCTTCCGAAGAGTTTGTTTGATGGCTTTACTGTATTATCAGCAGTCCCTAATGCTTCAGAGTCATGCTGCATTTAGACTAAAATGCCCTTTTTCTTCATAGTACAAGTATTAGTAACTTCAAACTAATCAGTTTAATCAGCAGGCCCAAACTTAGTACTATCATTTTTTTCTGTTAGGATGCCCAAGCACTGTTTAAAACTGTTACCCAATCCTCCAAAGGCTGAAGTTACATTTTCTGTTTATATTTCATCCAGAATAAATACATACAATGTACTTGTATTACAAAATATACATGATTAACTGTTCTAAAAACTTCCTTAGAAAACATTTTTATTAAATGTTTTCTATATATCCTAATATCCTAAACTTTCTATTAAGAAAGTCTAACAATCAGAGAAGGTAGACCAAAACTACCAAATCAGTTCTTCTGCAAAAGGCAGATTAGTCACACTGGTATTTCCGAAGTACTAATAATTAAATAAAATTATGAATACTTATGAAGTCATATAACATCCTGATGTGCTTGTGTTGAAAAATAATCATTATTGCAGGCTACAAAATTAGCAAGAACCCTTACTTTTGGGTAAGATAACGAAAGAGTTCTGGGGAGGACAATTTGCTCTCCATCCAACTTTACCTGTAACCAGGCAGTTAGGAGAAAGAGGGGCTCACGTCCAGTTCAGAGCAAAGTGCTGTCACTGAGCCCAGAAAGCCAACTGCTGGATTAGGACTTCTGATGTGAATCTCTGGCAAATCTCCAGGCAACTGGTAAGTGCCAAAGAAATACCAGAAAACTTCAGTAAAATTTCAGGGGAGTTAATGCAATACGCTCCTTGTTCACTTAAGTTTTATTTTTTATTGGTTTCCAAAAACAGTAAACATCAAACATTTGAAAAAGACTTTCACTATCCTCGTTTTTAACACATTGTGTATCAGCCCACTTAATTAGATGGATCATGGCAAACAAGAAAGTGGTGATCATTAAGAAAAAAAAATCATCATTTTCTGAGTTTATTCACTGCAATAGTAAGCAACAGGTATGCACTGCTGCAAATTTTTTACAGGATATTACAAAACTTCTTAAAGCCTATTTGTATATACTGTCATCTCATTCTTCCACTGATAGGAACTACAGATCATGACCAACAGGCATGCAAGATTTTATAAATGCAACATTTGAGTAAAATGAAGGCAAAAGGCTCAGAACCTGCTAGCACACTGCTGCTGTTCTGAAATCACCTAATGGTTCTCTAGGCAAGAGCCAGACTCAGCAAATTACTCCACATCACAAAGCAAATGAATTGTAGAGATTCGGTTTTATCTCGTAAGTCCTGATTAAGTAACATGCTGTGTCACATCATTTCTCCTGCAGAAGTGATGGGCTAATAACTGCTCCACACTACATGATCTATGCTTCTTTAAGCATTTGTGCCACCAATTTACAGAAGTAGCAGCAACATCATTAAACAATTTCCAGTTTCTTCTAAAACACTCCTTTGTTTCACAGCTAGTCAGCTATAAATAACATATGCATATTTAAGCAATGCTTTATTTCAGCTGGAAAAAGGTTTTGGAAGAAACAAGTCTGTCGAAGGAAAAAAAAAAAGTCACTCCCTTCTTCCACTCACTGAAGAAATGTTTAAATGTTAGAAACCTCTTTGCTCTTGATTTTGTTAATTGGTTCCTCTTTTCCTAGCAAAGACAGTGCTGCGCTATGCTATGCAGTGAAATTTCTGTCAACATCACTTAAGTAAGCGAATGCAGTAGACTCACTCTGGCTTCAACCATTACATATGGTATGAAAGCACCTGAGAACTCACAGGCATCAACTGTGGTCACATTTTCCTCACAAGCAAACTGAAAGAACTGTAATACTTACTGTGATAATAGAAGTCTCTTTTTAAAAAAAAAAAAAAAAGGAGTATCTGAGTGAGAGGGTAATGACAATGGAAGGTAGAAAAGGAATAGCAGGTAACAAAATGGTAGTTTGAAAAAAAGACTACTATACCTGTCAAGTCTTTAATCTTTATTATTCAAGTGTGTGTGATATACATAAAAATAAACTAAAGCCTAGTAACTCACTAAATAATACTCCTGGTACATACATTCATGTAAATTACATAGATCTTGTAATGATCTTTAAAGTGCTACTGTCCGTAATGAAGTTTTGAGAATACAGTGAGAAGTGAGGGGGGAAAAAAGGTAGTAAATTCAAGTTAAGTGAACACGCTGTATTAGTACTCTGGCAGTATCAGGTAGGTTACAGATTACAGACAGTTTATAATAGACAGTTTCTTTCTTCTGAAATCCAAAAACACTTGATTCATTCATAACCTATTGTTTAGAAAGGCATCCAATTAGGGTAAAGATTTTTAGAACAATTTAGTAAAGGATTGCCCCTACTAATGATCGTTATTCTCAGGATAAAGAAGTGATTTTTTTTTTAAATAGAACCTTTAAAGGATCTATTTTTCCACCCCAACATTGTGTGTTAACATATTTGCAAAAAATTGAAATAAAAAATACACATTGGTTTAAAAGAAAAATTTTAATATACATATTTACACTCATTTTATATTTTCTGCACTGGTCTCTCTCAGTATATACCTCTATCATTCTATTATGTTTTCATAATAAAACCACAAAAAGTAATTCTCAAACCAGGGAGGAAGCTGTAGCGGTCTGCATCATTTATTCTATTCATAATTTATTCTAGAAATGTTTACAGACTAACCACAAAAACAATTCCACTTCCCTCTTGTCAAGGAAATAAATATTTCAGTTCTAAACTCAAGAATCATTCAGCTCGCTTACATTCTGTGCATTACGCCCCAGGATCCACTATCAAAACTAGTATGTTTTTTCATCTTGGCATCCTAACCAGAAGCGTTTCTGGCTCCTCACATGCCCGCACAGCATATTTGGCATTCTTCTCCAGCAACACGTGAAGACTCACTTCAGCGTAAGAAGAGGCAACTGAAGTCTGTCTTCAGTCCTGCCATGCCACGCACTCAGCCAGCAATATTACTTTCTTCCAAATGGATCAGACCACACTTTTAATCCTACAAATCAAATATGAAATTCCAGCAGTTCAGAACAAGACTGTTGAAACAAGTTTGATCTGCTACTCCAGCCTTGCGTACAAAACAAGGAAAGAACCTCTCTAACAGTTTCTATACTCAGCTCACAACTCTGCTTAAGCTTACAAAAATATTTTAGAAAGACTATCTCATCTTGATCTTAAGCTTCAAATAATGGAAAATCCACCACATCCTCAGGTAAGGTGTTCCAATGTTACTAGCATCATTTAGATTAACACTTCATTTTACATTTGAATCTGTCCAGATTTCGCTTTCAACTAGTGGATGTCAATTTTTTCATCTAAATTTAGCTGGTGATGAAAATTTATACAGCGGAGCCTTGGTCATCAAGTACCTATATCTCAGATAAATGGGACAGGCCCATCCTCTTAAATGTTTCATTACAAAAAAGGCAGATTTACTAGACTTCAATTTTATAACTCTTTTTCTATTTCTCCTCCGCTTTTCAGCACTTGCTTGGATTGCAAGTCCTGCACTGATGACTTAACTGATATGTGTCATAAGGATGTGGTATTAATCCTATTTCATTTTCCCCTGCTGCTGATGTTAGGTTTTTCTGAAAATAGGAAAAAATTACCCTTTAACATACTTGGATATGAGCTACTTCATCAAGACAAGCATTCTCATGCATATAAATGAGAAGTGTGCCAACCCTGAATACTCACATGCAGTTCCATGACCTATGAAACAAACTGTCAAGGATGGTCTGTCACACTATTTTATCTTTTTTATTCCCTTCCTAAGCTTTTCTACTCCTTCAACTAGTACCAAGCTCTTCGCATCGCATTCAAATTTTCCCCTGAACGTCCTGATTTCTAACTCATTCCTCCTCCTGTGAGACCAGAAGGTACTGGTTTACGAGCAATAGCTCATAAAATGTGCCTAAGCTGAGTTGAAAAGCAGTATTCCACAAAGCAAGAACACAGAAAGTATATTTTTTACAACTAGGCCTCAGACCACTTATGGCTGTTGTTCACTTTGAGCTGGTTCAGTAATTGATTTCTGGTGTGGAATTTGACATCTATTTAATAAAGCATGGAGATATCAAGAATTAGTACAACGTATTTGGTCAGTTAAGTCAATTTAAAAACAAGTTTTAAGTTCAGAATTTTTAAGTGAAGAACTGGCGCAAGGAAACTTTCACAAGTTTATTATAAAATTAAAATAAATTAACAAATTACTTGAATGTGTTCTTTAAGCGCACAAAAATATTCAGGTCTTACTTCAAAAAGACCCAGGAAACAACGAATACAAACACATGAATCAAGTATACCTGGAGGCTGAATATTCTCTTGAACAATACCAGCTCGGTTTATTGACTGCTCTTTCTCTGAAAAAGAGGACAGAACATAATACTATTAATAAAAAGAAAATACCAGACATTCTGATAGCACCTAATAAAATGATATTGAAAATTATATTCATTTTGGATACTATCCTATAAATTCTGGTTAGTATCTGTCTACACAATGAACAGCAGGTCTATTTATAACCAAACTATAAGATAACCATCTTAAAGAAATGACAACTTCTTAACAAAGATGGAAGAATACCTGCCATGACACCATAACTTAAGGAATGACTAGTACCTTTAGGAGCTATCACTTACATGCTTAACATAAAACTTTAAGAGCGTTACTCTTTCCAGTAGTGGTGATCCCCAATTTCAGGCCCTGAAAGATTTTATGTTCTATCACAAGCAGATTTCATGGCAGCATGTATAAAGTCATCGCTTGTAAACATTCTGAAATTAAATACCGGGGGGATATTTTCCATGCAATGGACCTGTCTAAGATTTTTAAGTTTCAGCCACTTCCAAGAACAGAAGTAGGTAAGTCCATATCCTGTTAAGTGCTTTACTATTGTAGTGCTTTGGAGCACAAAAATCAAAGCTTGGTTGGATTGGCCTTTTCCCCATCCCATTGGACTTTTAAGCTATTAAAAAAATTGCAGTTTATACATCCTCAGGGAAAACCTGGAACTAAGTTCACCTTGAAACCAAAACTTATGAGCATCCTCCTGTCACCAAGAACGGACAAGTACTACGTGTTACCAGGCTGTCCTGGCAACAGTACTGCACTACTGTGCCTCATTTGTCCAGAACTTGGAAGATGCACAGTAAACAAGATGGAAGAAAGGAAATATATCATGTCATGTTTACATATTGAACATCACTCCAGAAAACTAAAATTCATTCTTGCCTTTTGCAGTATCACTATGTGATGCTAGTCCAGGTGTCTGACATCAGACCCAGCTTCCCAATATACAGAAATACTGAGTATTCATCCATAGCTCAAGCCAATGGGAGGTGTGAGCTTCAACAGGAGCATCACTGTCATACACTCACTAGACAATTCTGAAAATTACAGCACTTCTGTAAAGCAAAGATTAAAACCCACGCTTCCACTTCTCAAGCACTACAACCGTAAAATCCCACGTTCTTAAACTGTTATGAAAGCGAATGCTGTGCAGCACTCATACTACAGTGTTGTCAAAAAAGTCCACAGGCAATTAATAAGGGTGTCATCAAAGCAGAGTTTGACCAACATGTAATAAAGCCTAGAATCACATATTAAATAGCAAGTTTAAGCACTTGCTAACTGCATACTGCCTACTCTGTGGGTTACATGGAGATTAAAAGAAAAAAAAAAACCCAACCTGCTAGGACTGATCATATAATTCACAAGCACAATGGAGGAAGCTTATCCATTAGTTATGATATTTCCTTAATACTAAGTCACACTTGCACTATTTTCAGAAAACACGCCACACGCAAAACTAGGTTAAGCATAAGGTTTTTAAAAATAGGAACATTGTGCACTTGGAAACTGCCCACAAAGATATGTGTTTTGCTCTGTTTCCTTAAACAATTTTTGTTGCTTGCAAGTTAAATTTTACTTCAGCATAGATGTGAGGCTAAAGCCTAACTTGGGGGGATCTCCGAGAGGATCAATAAGTTGATTAATTCTTTTCCTTTTTCCTTCCTAGAAATCCCTTCAGCCATCTGAAGAGGTTAAGCATATGAATCTTGATTTTGTTGTTGCTAGCTTCCATAGGTTGTAAAGGTCAAGTGAGAGGATGAGATTTGTTATACCAAAACCTTTTCCCCTCTCCCTTTTACAGCAGTTAACTGACATTTAGGAATAACACATGCTCCCCCTACTGCCCCTGCGGCACAGGGCACCCGACTAGACTGCTGAGGTTTCACACAGAGCATCCTATGCTGTCAAGTCCTTAAGAGCTCCCTGGTTACAAAGTAACTCACAGCTGAGGAAAAAAAAGGGCCAGCTGCGGCCTTTGACCGGTTCCAGCAGGGCAGAACGTTGTTCTCCACGTCAAAGAAAGCCGTGCAGACCGATTATAGCTCTAGCAAACCGCTACAGTTGCTAAAGGATGCGTTGCCGCGTCTTAAATCGAACATTTCACCTGGGACTGAAGAAACATCACTCGGACAACTTCTTCAGTTGTCTCTACGGCCGTTCTTAATTACTTCAGAGAACAACCAAGCGTATATTTAATCGCCCAACGACTTAGGGCCAACTCGAAGCAAAATTCCCCCGCGGCTCTTCGCTATTACTCAGGCGAGCAGCGCGCCATTCACCCAGGGGGCCCGGACACGCGGCGCTCCCGGCCC